ATCCTTCTGCTTTCTAGTCTCCTCTTAGTACTCCCTGTTGGTTGAACCTAATAGGAAACCAACTGACAAAAAAGACATGGAGGTAATTTGGAGAGTCTGAGCCCCAACACCGTGAAGTAGAGTATCTAAGAGTGGATTTGGAGTTGAGAATTTTGGTTTACTCACTGGTGCTGTATGGCTTTCTTGTTTTTAGTGTATGGGCTTTAATTAGGTCTAGATGAGCAGTGAGTGGGGCAGTCTCTGAGGGCCCTCTTAGTTGGAGTTGAATAGCTAACAGCTCACCTCAGGCAAAATGCCTGTCTGTTGGGATGGGCCTTTTCTCTGGAGAGCCTGTAAGTTGTAGGTGATGGCTTTGACCTGGGTAGATGATCAGGAGGATTTCTTCCCAGGAGGGACTGAGACAGACCCTCTCAGCAGTTCTCAGCTTAGGCATGCGAATAGCCTTACAGGAAAGCTGTCTGGATAGGTTAGTGCTTTGGGAGGTCCCAGGTCTCTTTCTAGATTTCTGAAAGTACCTTCTTTATGAATGAGTAATAGTAAATAGTAATTATGGGCTGGTTGACTGCCTTCCTATATTCCATCTTGTTCTCATTTATGCCATAGTCAGAATAACTTGGAGTTTTAAGCATGTAGGTGAGACTCTTATTTTTCAGTAGTGTTAGTGGGTCAGAATTTTTCATTCTACATTAGCTGAACTGCCTTAGCAAGAATTGAGAGGGAGTGAGTCAAGGCAAGAGCTTAGGTCATAGTCCTAGAATATCTCCTCCATCTGCCCTAAAAAGACTTAGAGAGGAATCTTGGATACAAGTGTTAGAAACCAACTATAATGCATGTAAAATAGGTATTTTTTGGAAGGATATTGGTTGGCTGTCAAAATTAATATTTGGTCTGTGGAACTAGGTTTAGAGGACAGGCATTTAAGGAAGACAGGTATGCAGAACCATACCGAGGGTCAAGAAGTAGTTAAAGCATCATTGCCAGTACTACTGGTCAGTAAGAGCTGGATATCATTATGCTACCTCTCAACAGTGGGTTTCCCTGCTTTTTCAGTGATTTCTGAAATTGAATTTTTGTTTCTTTATGTCACTTACTCCAGATCTGCAGTTTCAGGCAGAGCATCTGATCACCTAAATGTAGGTCATCGGGCCTTGCCTTGCTGTTTTACAGTAGAAAGATAAAGTACCTAGAACCATTTGGCTTCTATAGAAAGAGGAGGGAGTCTGCTACCAATATGCTGGCGAATTTCTGAATTTAGATGGAGGATTACATATTAACATCTTAAGAAATATAAACTGAAAAGGACCCTAAGTTTTAGTATAGTGACTTATATTATAGTTAGGAATAAAGTCCTTACTTGTGCTGTGCTACTTAGAAATGTAGGTATAAGCCCTGGCTGGCGTAGCTCAGTGGATTGAGTGGGGTCTGTGAACCAAAGTGTCGCGGGTTCGATTCCCAGTCAGGGTACATGCCTGGGTTGCAGGCCATGACCCCCAGCAACCGCACATTGATGTTTCTCTCTTTCTCTCTATCTCCCTCCCTTCCCTCTCTAAAAATAAATAAATAAAATCTTTAAAAAAAAAGAAATGTAGATATAAACAGTCTTCCTGGACTCTACCATTCTAGAACTTTCTGTGCAGTGGTTTAAAATGGGCCAGTACTGTTCTCCCAGGAGAGAGGTCTTGGAAACATGGGAGCATTTTTTGTTTGTTACAGTGAAGAAAAGAGTGACACTATTGGCATTTAGTAGATGAGGGCCAGGAATGCTAACCAGTCCACCACAGCGCCCTGGTGTCCTGCACAACAGAGAATTGAATTGTCTTGCCTAACATGCCCAGAGTATATCTGAGAAACACTAGGTTATAAGGATCATTTAAATGAAGGGCCAGAAATTATTACTGGCCTCCATCTTTCACTGTCTGCACTGTATAGCTCGAGCATTATTTCTCACTTTCTTGTTTTGCTTCTGGTCCCTTTTCTTATTTCAAGAGACTTAGTTCCTTTTCAAGCCTTCTGCTCCAATTTAAAATGTGTCTCCAGGACCATTTATAAAAATTAGCTTGAAATGGATCTTGCTTGAGCTGCCATAACAAAACACCATAGACTGATGGCCTAAATCTCACAGTTTTAGAGGCTGAAAAGTCCAAGATCAAGGTCTAGCAGGGTCAGCTTTTGGTGAAGGCTCTCTTCCTGGCTTGTCCTGGCTTGCAGGTAGCTGCCTTCTTGCTGTGTCCTTACATGGCCATTCATTTGTGCTTGGGGCCGGTCAGGAGGAGAGGGTAGGGTGGGGTGGGGTGGGGTGAGGGGAGAGTTATATAAAAAGAAAGATATATTTGTTTCTCTTTGTCTTCTTTTCTTTATAATAGTTTTGCTTTTATTTATTTATTTTTTTATTCCTCACTTGAGGGCATGCTTTTTGATTTTAGAGAGAGGGGAAGGGAAGGAGAGAGAGGGGGAGAGAAACAATGATAGGCTGGCTCTTGCACATGCTGGGACTGGGACTGAACCCACAACCCAGGCACATGTCCCGATTGGGAATTGAGTCTGCCACCTTTTGGTTTACGGGTGGTTACTCCAACCAACTGAGCCCCACTGGCAGGGCTCTCTTGTCTTCTTATAAAACCACTAATTCCATCATGAGTGCCTCACCCTTATGTCCTGATTTAACACTAACTAGTTTCCAAAAGCCTCATCTTCAGATACTATCATGTTTGGGGTTAAAGTTTCAACATATGAATTTTTGGGGACACAAATATTCAGCATCAGGGATAGTGTCTTAGGGAGAAACCAAATAAACCTAGGCAGCCACAGAAACAAATTACCAGTGTTAGAAATTTGGGTCCCGAGTACTTAGTAACCTGGTAAAGGCTGACCATATGTATTTTGTTGTAACAGTTGAGAAAATACAGTTAGATGATGTTGAATAGGAAGAGTATATAGAATAAGAACAGGAGTGAGGATGGAATACAATGTATTTGAGGTGCACTGATGATAGAGCCAATGATCAGCAACTTGTAAAGGCAGGCCTGAGGAAGAGGGACTTGCAAAGGAAGGATAAACTCAGGTATCAGTTTTTAACTGTGGTGCGTGTAAGACTGGTGAGAGGTTGAGGAAAGTGGAAACAGCAGGTGTAGTACTCAAGGGAGGAAGGGAGCACCACTGAAGTAGAGGTGGAGGCAGTTTTTAAGGAAGTTTTTAGCTATTTATGTATTTTTTAATAAGTGGATGAGGCTTTGTGTTTGTAGGTGAAGAGTAGAGTAAAGATCTACTAGACAAGGAGAGAGCGAAGAGAAAGGGAAAATACTCGTATCTTTGCCTGAATATTTGCAAAACAAGATTTCAGTGTAATTTTTTGTATACATATGTAATCGAGGATTGTGTTTGTCCTTTACGATGTTCCCAAACATTTAAATACACTAATTGGAGAAGGAAATCTATCCCTTGGTTAATATATTTCTGGCAAATCAACCCTCAGATACTAATGAGAGCCCTAGGGAAAGAGAACATCTAAGATGGAGTGTGGCTCACTTACAATTAGGTTATTTACCAGCTATAAAAATCACAAAATACCAGTGGCTTACTCAATGTAGAAGTTCATTTCTGATCACATGAATTCCGTGGGAGCAGTTTCAATAAGGTAGGCTGAGAAATAGACTTTTTATTTAGCAGGATCATGTGCTTATCTAAAAATTGAGGGCTCTGGGACTAAGAGGGAGAAAAGATGTTGAGAGATAGGTGTTAGTATTTATACAGTAAAAGTCAAATTCTTAAATAACATTTATCCCTTATGTGAAAGACATAGTGTTTAAGAAGTCAAAATGCCTGTGTTTGTAACTAGGTTCTCTACTTACTAGCTCTATGACCCTAAACAAATTACTTAGTTTTTCTCTTTGTGCCTTGCTGTTTCATAATAAGGTGAGAACAGTGTTTAATAGAGGGTACTTCATTAATGGTGTGAGAATTTAATAAGATAATCTATGTAATTCACTAAGCCAGTGCTTAGATGTAATACATCTAAGCCACAACAGTGATTATTTTTGTTGTTATTTGTCTAAGTTTTTCAGGAACCAAGGGGTTTGCAAGGTGACTGTGGTGACGGTTGAGTTAGATGTTTAGAGTAGCTATCATTGTTGGCTGGTTTGGAAAGTAGTACGCACAATTCCTGCATTCAGTCACGTAGATTGGGTGGAGGCTGAGAGAAGACTGAGCTGTTACAGAATAGGTCTGAGTAGAAAACCCAGTGTCCACACTAAGGTAGTGGTTTCCAAACGTTTGTGTTCACCAAAATCATCAGGGGAGCTCCTAACAATGTAGATTCATGGGTGTCACACAGACCTGCTGAATTGGAATGTGTGTTTGTAACAAGGGCTCATGAGAATTTTAAGTAGTCATACCCGCATCACTCAGGAATGATTGCGCTATAAGCTCTATGTATGGTATTTCCAAAATGCAAAAGTTTTGGAAGAGCATGATGTACTATTACAATAATGCAAAATTTCCCATCCTTTTATTTTTCCGCTTATCTCTTTCCTTGACACTATATTTTTGTTTATCTTGATACTTAATTCTTAATTCTATTTTTGATTTTCTCTCTCCCACCTAGTTTTTCACTGGTATGTCTTCCTTCCTTTCTTTCTTCCTCCTCCCCTGCCTCCTTTTTTTTTCCTTTTTGTTTTTAATGTGTCTACTGATAAGTTACAGATTGCTGTTTTCTCTGTTCTCATTGGCTCTGAAATTGTAACTTACTTTCTAGGTTCCCTCTTCTTCCATTATGTAACATGTTAGTGTGTTAGCTCCTGTCATATGGGGCTCATACCAAGTTGTATTTATCCTCTTCTTCAGGCAGGTGGGCTTGAGCCTCTCACAGGTCATTCCTACCTTTTAACGCAGGAGCAGGAAACAGCTACCAGAGTTTGGTGGAGGAAACTTTAAGTTTTACGTTTAAAGCTTGAAGTTCTTAAGGGTCATTCAAACCAGTCTTTTTTTCTCTCTTTTTCTTACAGGGAAGAAGAGGAACATTTGAGAAACAAAATTCGAGCTGATCACGAGAAGGCCTTGGAAGAAGCAAAAGAAAAATTAAAAAAGTCGAGAGAGGAAATCCAAGCAGAAATTCAGACAGAGAAAAATAAGGTAGTCCAAGAAATGAAGACAAAAGAGAAAAAGCCACTGCCACCAGTCCCTATACCAAACCTTTTAGGAATAAGTGGTGGAGACCCCGAAGATAATGACATAAAAAAGAAAAGGGAAAAAATTAAAGAGGTAATAATAAGCTGATATTTAAGATACAGAGTGGTTGTGGATATATATTTGATTGGAGAGACAGACACACTGTTTATGTTGTCATACTTTGGCCTTGTTTGTTTTGGGGTCATAGTTGTAGTTCAGTTTCTAAGTTGGCAGTAAGGGCTAGAACTCTCTTTCTTAATATTGGTTATAATTATTGAACACTTAAAATTTTGACACAATGTTTGGATGGTTACATCACTCACCCATTTGTGTTCAGAGATCTTTTGATATTCAGCATTTTATAAATAATGTAGAATAGATTTATAAATAATTTATCACTGAACAAGAAATTTCTTAAGTGTTAAGAAGTTATAAGGGACTCTGTTAAATGCTCTGTATATCTCCTTAGAAACATGCTTCTGAAGAGTTAGCAGTAAATCTTCCATCTTTTAAGGAACATGTCATGAAACCCCATAACTTCACAGCAGATTAAGAATACATATTTTTTCCAAAGAATCTCAGTGGATTGAAGAATGAGGAGGGATTGATCTGAGAGTTTTTTGTATTTGTTTAGTCACAGAAGTCTTTCAATTTGTTACTTTAGGAATGACTTGGAGATACAGAGACTACTGGGGTGAGGGGGGGGATGGGAATCTAGTGACTATTTCAGGTGAACTTTGTTAATTAGAACCTCAGCTAATTCCAGGTGGAGTTTGCAGTTGTACTACCTCTGTAGAAGAAGATTCTGTCTGGGTGTAATAGCATCAATAATATTTCAAAGGCATTGTTTGTCATAAGATAATAAACTTAGTTCAAACAGTCAAATATTTATATGGACATGTTCTAGTGATGAATATGAAAGATTTAGTAGGTAGTTTAAGCTTGGCCTTATGAATTATTATAAGACCCTGGCCTTGATGGAATCAAAATAGCAGTGTGCTCTGACTTTACCTCACTCCTGGCATCTTGTTTTATGTACAGACTGCTTAAGGCACTTTCTTTGGATACCATTGGAGAGACATTGATTGGTTTGTTTTTTTTTTCCAGATGCCTGACCTGCTTTTTTTTTTAGATGTCATTAGAATTTATTGAAGTACTTTCTCATGTACACAATAATTTAGGTAGATAACTGTGTGCTTAGGGAACCCTGAGACCACCCAAAGGTCATTGAGACCACTCAATGATTTACAAGAAGTAGTCACAGGAAGGACTCAGTAAAGCTGTTGTATTCGTGGTTTCAGTTTATTACAGCAAAATTAAAATTAGTAATAGAAAAGGCGCATAGGAGAGAGTCCAGGAGAGACCTGGTGCAGGCCTCTCGTTGTCCTCTCCCAGCGGAGTGACATGGACAGTGCTTGGTTCTCCCAGCAGTGGTGTGTGGCAGTGCGCATGAAGTGTTGCCTACCAGGGAAGTTCCCCTGAGTCTTGGTGTCCGGGGTTTTTACTGGAGGCTCTTTATGTATGCTTGGCTGAACTTAGTTCTTCAACTCCTCCAGAGTCAGGCTGATATCATGTGGCCAAAGGCCCCTACAGTAAATCACATTGTTATCATAAACTGACACAGCCCAAGGCTTCAGGTAGACAAAGATACTCATAACATGCAGGATAATAAAGGGTTTGAGGTTATTTTCCAGGAGCCCAGTGTGGGCCAAACCTTCCTTTGGGATCTGCAGGGTTTGGACAACCTAGATCTGCTGAATCAATCCTTTAGAGCATGCCATATTATCCAGTTTTCTTATAAATCAGCATAAAACATAATGACCTCTTTGTAGGTTCCTGTTAAACCTTATGGTACTGACTTAGGAAGCAGAGAGAGTTGAAACCTAAGCTTGCAGGGGAATGAGCTAACTAGAGGAAAGGTGATGTGAACTGCAGAATACCTGAAAGTGTCAAGAATTAGACACCATTTACTTAAGGTTGTATTAAGAAAATAGAGCTGGAAAAGGATTATTTGAAAGTTTTAAAAGGAGCTCTTAACCCCTAGATCCCTAATTCTATACCCTGTGCATCCCAGCCACTACCCTCCCTTTCCAAACAGAAGACAAAAGTTAACCTTTTGGAAGGATAAATTAGAGAATATCTGGATTTTGGGAATACCAGGTGTGGCTGAGTGAAAGCACAGAGATCATTCTAAAAAATAAAGAAAGTGGTGGGGGTGCAGGGATTAGGTAAAAAAATGCATTCTGAATATTGAGATTACTTTCTCCTGCCCACTTCTCAGAAATCTGGAAGCCAGGTTTATATTCAGCACAGTGGAGAATGGAGGACTTCTTTCTGGGGAGACTGGTCCAAGAGAAAAGTCCTACACTGTTCCTCAAGCACCCATGGGTTTCACCTGATCTCTCTAAGATGAGGCTCAGTCAGCTGCAATAGTTGGCTCATTCACTGACAGCCTTTGTCTTATAAGTGCCTCACTGCTACGTGGAGAGCAAACCAAAGGCCACCAGACATTTAAGGAAAGTTTCTCACATGACAGATCAAAACAGATGGAACAAATAAATTCAGAGGATACAGAAATAATAAAGGGAGCAGAAAAAATATATTAAATAGGTAACATCATTGGAGTGACAAAAAATGAATTCATGAAATGAGAATAGTAAGTTATAAAAAGGAACATTTATAAAGTAACAGAGCTTTTGGAAATTAAAAATATTATAGAATTAAAAATTTCAAAAGAAGAGTTTGAAGATAAAATTGAGCAAATCTCTCAGGACAAAAAATGGAGAAAATTAAAAAAATTATAAGATCAATCTAGAACATCTGACAAGTTATTAGATAGATACGGTTAGAAGAGAGCAGGGATAATGGAGGGTAAGAAGTCAAAGAGACAACTCAAGAAAATTAGCAAGTCTAAAGCAAGTGAGTTGCTGGATTGAAAGGACCTGTCAGGCATCCATCACAAGGAGCAAAGAAGAAAAAAAAAACAAACAACGGACTCTTGAAATGTTAGAAAAGTAGCATAAAAAAGATCCTAAAAGTTTACAAGGGAAAGAAAAAGGTTCCACTCAAAAGATTGGATTGTACATAATGGTTCATCAGATTCCTCAACAATAATATTGGAAACTAGAAAGAATTATGTCTAATCAAATTATGAATCAGATCTGACAGTAAAGATATTTTTAGGCATTTTCTCAGATTGCTACTGTAAAATATGCTTCAGCACAAAAATAGGAAGAGAAGGGATTTTGGAAACAGGGTACCTGTCACTATAGAGAATAAAGAAGGGCATTCCTAGGATTGCGACTGAGGGAATCAGCAGTTGATGGCTGTGCTTCGTGTGGCGAGAACAGCACTCCAGAGTAGAGTAGGATAGAGAGCTTCAGGAAGGGTATATTACAGAATAAAATAGAACTGACAGTTTGTCTGATTTGGAAGTAAATTCATAACTGTTATGTTACAAACTAAGGAAACAAACAAAAAATCCCACTAAACCCTCAGACCAGCAGTTAATAGCTGGGAAAACAAAGGTTGAACGAAGTAATGTAATTATTATAAGAAAACATGTTAACTACATTGGGAGTATGTGGGCCAGGGAAATACATATATGTGGGGAAGTATATGTAGAGGTGAGTGGATAGAGGCATTAGAGAGCTCAGTTATCTTAACTATAGGAGAACATAGTAAATATCTAAAGCTTAAAAACAAGAAATAGCATTATTACCTATATTTAGAAATATAGTGGTAAATAGGGAAAAATAGGTGAAAGTTTAAGTAATTGTCTCAGAAGAGTAGAAATTATGAGTGGGGAAGATATGATAGGTTATTAGATTTTTTAAAAAATTTAACTTTAAAAAATTTAACTAAAAAATTAGATTTTTTAAAAAATTCAATATATTGAAACAATATATATACAACAAAATGTACCTGTTTTAAGAGTACTGCTTGATGGGCTTTGGCATCTGTGTAACAGCAATTATAGTCAAGCTATGACTATGTCCCTAATGTCAAAATGGTTTTCTTGTGCCCCCTCTCTGGTCAGTCCCCCTGGTTCCTTGGTCCCAGGCAACCACACATCTGCTTTTGATCATTATAGATTAGATTTGTCTTTCCTAGAGTTTCAGTCAAATGGAATAGAGTAATAAAGCATGTGACATTTTGTTGCTAGGCTTTTGCTCAGCATAATGTTTTTGAGATTTATCTGTGTAGATGCACATAAACTTAACTTTTTTCTTAGTAGTAGTCTATTTTGTGGCTATACCATGATTTGGTCTATTCATTCGCCTGTTGAACATTTGCTGTACATTTGTCCCAGTTTTTGGCTGTTAGGAACAAAGTTGTTATGAACATTTGTGTTCAAGTCTTTGGGCACATGTTTTAGTTTTAGTTTTGACATTTTACTCTGTGGTCTCTTGTGAGTCAGTTTTTTTAATTGTGAGAAGTAAAGGTCTTGCTTTATTTTTTTTACATAGGGCTTTCTAGTTGTTCATTTGTTGAAAGGACTGTCTCTTCCTGATTGAATTATCTTGGTAGTTTTGTACAGAATCAGTTGACAAAATCAGCAGGTATTGAGTCTCTTTCTGGACTCACATTTATTCTGTTAATCTCCATGATTATCCTTAATGCCAGTATGACACTGTGTTGATGACTTTAACTTACAGTAAGTTTTTAAATTAGGTAAGTCCTCCAGTTTTGTTCTTTGTATAAATTGTTTTGGCTCTTCTGGGTCCTCTGCCTTTCTAGAATTAACTTTTCTACGAAAATAAATGGTTGCTGGGTTTTGACTGAGATTTTACTGAATCTGTAGATGAATTTGGAAAAATTATCTTAACAGTAGTCTTCCATTCCATGAGCATGTTACGTCTTCCTGCTTTTTTAGGTTTTCTTTAATTTCTTTCAGTGGTGTTTGTAGTTCCCAGTATATAGTTCTTACACATATTCTATTACATTTTTCCCAAGTGTGTCATCCATCTTGATGCTATTATAAATGAATTGTTTTAAAATTTTCATTTCTGTTGTTTATTACCAGATACGGAAATATATTTGATTTTAGTCTGTTAAATTTGTATCCTGTTATTTTACTGAAGTCACTTATTATGTAGTTGTAGTGACTTTTTTTAGATTGCTTAGAATTTTTCTTGTACAGAATTATGCCCTCTGTGACTAGAAATTTTTACCTTTTTCCTTTTTGATTTTTATGTCTTTAATTCTTTTTCTTCTCTTATTGTACTCTCTAGGAGTTCTAGTACACTGTTGAAAAAAAGTGATGAGAATGGACATACTTAAATTTTTTTCAATTGTAGGGGTTCAGCATTTACTCTTATACCATTAAATGTGTAGTTAGAAGTAGGTTTTTGGAGAGATTCTATTCACTGACAGTTTTTATCATGAGTGCGTGTTAAGTTTTTGTCAGATGCTTTGTTTACATCTATAAAGATTATTGGATGATGTTTTTTCTTTTATTCTGTTAACATGATGAATTATATTGATTGGTTTTTTGAATGTTATGTTAGTTTTAAATTCCTGGGTTAAACTGCATTTGGTCATTGTGTCCTTTTTATATATTGCTAATTTTTGTTCAGCAGTCTTGCATTTGTGTTTTTATTGGTTTTTAGTTACCTTGTTATATATTTGCCTGGTTTTGGTATCTGGGTAAGCCTGGCTGCAAAAAAAAACAAATTGGAAAGTGTTTCAATGTGTACTGTTAAATGAATAGATTTTTGCTACATTACAGTCTACTATTAAATAATTCAACTGATATATAATTAAATACTTTGCTTATATATAATTGTGTTACTTAGACTCCTTGGGTTATAAGAAACTCAATACAAACTGATTGATATAAAAGTATATATTAGCATAATGGCTCTGAGGGCTTCAAGCTTGGCTGAATCCGAGTCTATAGATGGTATTGTCAGTAATATGTATCTGTCTCCCTTTCTTTTGTTAGTTAGTTTCTTCAAATTGGGAGAGATTTAGCCCCCATCAACTCCAAGATTATATATTACTTAGACCTTGAGGTTGCAAACTGAGAGAGTCCTTCTGTCTACTACTGTCTATACTGACATGTGTGTGTAAAAGGACTTGATTGTCCCTATGTGAATCACATGTACACAGTCACTTTGTCCAGGTCAGGGGTTGGCAAACTACAACCTGTGTGCCAAATTCTGACTTGTAAAAAAAATTATTACTTTTTTTAATACTCACTTGAGGACCTGTTTATTGACTTTTTGAAGAGAGAGGAAGAATGGGGGAGGGTAACGAGGGGGGAAGAGAGAAAGAAAAGAAAGGAAGGAAAAGGGAAAGGAAATGGAAAAGGAAGGAAAAGGGAAAGGAAATGGATAAGGAAGGAAAAGGAAAGAAAGAAAAAAACAAACATCAATGTGAGAGAAACATTGATTAGTTAACTCCCTTATGTGTCCTGACTGGGGATCAAACCTACAACTTTTTGGTGTACAGGATGACACTCCAACCAAGTACACCATCTGGCAAGGGCTCTGCCTTTATTTTTTAAAAATAAAGTTTAATTGGGACTTCCAGCCAAGATGGAGGTATAGGTAGACACACTGTGCCTCCTCGCACAACCAAGATAGGGACATCAACAATTTAGAAACAGAATAACAACCAGAACTGACAAAATTGAACTGTATGGAAGTCGGACAACCAAGAAGTTAAGATAGACACGTTCATCCAGAATGGTAGGAGGGGCAGAGTTGGGCAGCCAGATGGAGGGGGTCCTAGAACAAAGAGCATGAGGACCAGCATAGGTCAACCTGGGCGCGCAAGCGGCAGACCCAGTGAGGCAGCAATTGTGAAGCAAGGCACTGCATGCAATGCGGCTGGCTGACCAGGTGGTCCCAGGGTCCCAGCGCCGGGAAATAGAGACTCAGGGCACTGATGGAAAACACCTGTGTGGGTTGAGGCGCAGGGAGAGACTCCCAGCCCCACAGGAGAGGTCGTTGGAAAGACCCATGGGGTGTACAAGCCCACCCACATGGGAATTAGCACCAGAAAGGCCCAGTTTGCTTGGGGGAAGTGGTGGAAGGGACTGAAGTCTGATGGAGAGCGGAGCAGGTGTCATTGTTCTTCTCGGACCCCACCCCCACATACAGTGTCACAACCCAGCAACTGGGTTGCCCTGCCCTGATGAACACCTAAGGCTCCGTCCCTCATATGTATCAGGCATGACAAGACAAAAAAAAAAAACAAAACCGATGTCTCAAACAGAAGAACAAATGAAAGCCCCAGAACCAATACTTTTAAGTGACCGAGAGATAGCCAACCTATTAGGTGCACAGTTCAAAACACAGGTGATCAGGATGCTCACAGAATTGGTTGATTTTGGTGGCAAATTAGATGAAAAAATGAAGGCTACAATAAGTGAAATGAAGAAAAACACACAGGGAACCAATAATGATGGAAAGAAAGCTGGGTCTCACATCAATGGAGTGTACCAGAAGGAAGAAAACAACATACAGTCAGAAAAGAATGAAAAAATAAGAATTCAGAAAAATGAGGAGAGGCCTAGGAACCTCCAGGACATCTTTAAACGATCCAACATCCGAATTATAGAGGTACCATAAGGAGAAGAGAAAGAGCAACAAGTGGAAAACTTATTTGAACAAATAATAAAGGAGAACTTCCCCAATCTGGCAAAGGAAATAGACTTCCAGGAAGTCCAGGAAGCTCAGAGAGTCCCAAAGAAGTTGGACCCAGGAGGAACACACCAAGGCACATCATAATTACATTGGCCGAGGTAAAAATGAAGGAGAGAATCCTAGAAGCAGCAAGAGATAAGGAGACAGTAACCTACAAAGGAGATCCCATCAGACTGTCAGCTGATTTCTCTAAAGAAATCTTACAGGCAAGAAGGGGCTGGAAAGAAGTATTCCAAGTCATGAAAGGCAAGGACCTATATCCCAGATTGCTCTATCCAGCAAAGCTTTCATTTAGAATGGAAGGGCAGATCAAGTGCTTCCCAGATAAGGTCAAGTTAAAGGAGTTCATCATCACCAAGCCCTTATTTTATGAAATGTTAAAGGGACTTATCTAAGAAAGAAGATAAGAAAAAGAAGACAAAAAACATGTATAGTAAAATGACAGCAAACTCACAGTTATTAACAACCACACCTAAAACAAAACCAAAACCAAAATAAGCAAACAACTAGAACAGGAACAGAACCAGAGAAATGGAGATCACATGGAGGGTTAGCAACAGGGGAGTAGGAGGAGGAGAGAGGGGGAAAAGGTACAGAGAGTAAATAGCATAGATGGTAGGTAGAAAACAGGGGAAGGGTAAGAATAGTATGGGAAATGTAGAAGCTAAAGAACTTATGACACATGGACATGAACTAAAGGGGGGGAATGTGGGTGGGAGAGGGTGTGCAGGGTAGAGGGGAATGAAGGGGGGTAATGGGACAACTGTAATAGCATAATCAATAAAATATATATTTAAAGAAGTTTAATTGGAACAGGCATGCCCACTTGCTTATGTATTGCCTAGGGCTGCTTTTGTGCTACAGTAGCAGAATTAAGTAGTTGGTATAGAAGCTGTATCGACTGCAAAGCCTAAATAGTTAAAGAAGGAGTTTTCTGATCTTTGGTCTGAGGTTAAGAGGTTCTCTAACCAGGTTGTGTTGTTTGGTTGTGCAGTCAGGACGTCTTGATTGACAGTTCAGTCATAATCACAGTGGGGAAATGGGAACAGTTACCCAAAAGATTGGCAGTTCCTAAAAGAAAAGCATGCCAAACAGACACCTTCCTTCTTAATAGAAAGAACTTATCTATTACATTCAATTTGTGTCAACCCTGAGAATAAACATTGTATGTGTTTCATACTGGTACAGATGTTAATAGTATAACATATTAATGTGGGAGATATAGGAGACTGTGAGGATTTGGTAATACAATCTCTAAATTACACGAGATACAGATAACAGTGTGAATAATGTAACTGTTTGGATTATAATTTCTCTTTTCTCAGATGATGAAACATGCCTGGGATAATTATAGAATATATGGATGGGGGCATAATGAACTCAGACCTATTGCAAAGAAAGGCCACTCCACTAATATATTTGGTAAGTTTACTTTTTCTAATTCTGTTTCCATTTTCTATATCCATTTTAAAAACATGATCTAATTTTTAAATACTTTGTAAAACCTGAGTATGTCTATGGAATGGAATTATTATTTGAAGCAACATGTATTTTTTTCTCAAAGTTCAGTCAGGATTGGTTATGGTTGCTTTGGAATACACAGATAGGTGGTAGATTTTCAGTTTGCATACAGATATTTTTGGTCCTTTATCTGAGTGTTTTGAACCTTTTTCTGCATTTTTAAAAAATCCTTGCCCAAGGATGTGTTTATTGATGTTAGAGAGAGAGGAAGGGAGAGACAGACAGACAGACTGGCGGACATAGACATCAGTTGGTTGCCTCCCACAACACACTCCACCTGGAGATCAAACCTGCAACTTAGGTATGCTCTTGGATGGGGAATCAACCCCACAGCCTTTTGGTGTATGATGCTCCAACAAACTGAGCCACCTGGCCAGGGCTGCATTTTTTTTTAATACTGAGAAATTAGTTACCTATTTGTAAATCTTTTTCTTCAACACAGTACTAGTTCTAATACTCACATATTATAGAGCTCTGGAGGGAAGGAAAGGAAATTTCAGTTGTGCTGTGCATGTGCATAACTTGGAGATACTGCAGGTTTGGCTGCAGACCGACCATCACAATAAGGTGAATCCTGCAATAAGGATGCAATAAGGCAAGACACATGAACTTTTTGGTTTCCCAGTGCACATAAGGGTCAAGTATACACTATACTGTAGTCTTTTAAGTGTGTAATAGTATGTCTGAAAAACGATATAATACCTTAATTAAAAGATGCTTTATTGCTAAAATTACTAATCATCATCCAAGCCTTCAGCGAGCCCTAATCATTTTTCTGGTGGAGGGTCTGGCCTCCATGTTGATGGCTGCAGGCTGATCAGGGTGAGGTTTGCTGAAGGCTGGAGTGCCTATGGCAGTTTCTTAAAATGAGACAGCAGTGAAGTTTGCTTCATCAGTTGATCAGTGATTTTTCTGTAGAATGCAATGCTGTTTGATAGAATTTACCCACAGGGCAATTTCTTTCAGAATTAGGGTTGGTCCTTCAAACCCTGCTGCTGCTTTCTTAGCTTAAGTTTATGTAATATTCTGAATCCATTGTTGTCATTTCAGTAGTCTTCACAGCATATTCATCAGGAATAGATTCCATCTCAGGAAACCACTTTCTTTGCTCTTTTAGAAAGAAGCAACTCCTTACCTATTTAAGTTCTATCATGAGATTGCAGCCATTCAGTCACATCTTCAGGCTCTACCTCCACCTCTGGTTCTCTTGCCACTTCCAACACACCTGTAGTTATTTCCTCCACTGAAATCCTGAACACCTTAAAGCTGCCTGTGAGGGTTGGAGTCAACTTCTTCTAAACTCCTGTTAATGTTGATATTTTGACCACTTCCTATAAATCATGAATGTTCTTAAAGGCATCTAGAATGGTGAATCCTTTTCATAAGTTTTCAGTTTACTTTGTCCAGATCCATCAGAGGAATCATTATCTATGGCAGCTATAGCTTTATGAAGTGTATTTCTTAAATAAGAATTGGAAGTCTAAATTACTCCTACAGGTTTGATGTTGTGTTAGCAGGCATGAAAACAACATTAATCTCATAGTACGTTTCCATTAAAGCTCCTGGGTGACCAGGTGCATATTCAACAAGCAATATTTTGAAAGGAATCTTTTTACTTGAGCAGTAGGTCTCAAATATTAAAATATTCAGTAAACCATGCTGGCAGCAGATGTGCTGTCATCAAGCTTTGTTTTTCCACTTACAGGGTGCAGGCAGAGGAGAGTTAGGATAATTCTTAAGGGCCCTGGGATTTTCAGAATGAGAAGTGAGCATAGGCTTCAACTTAAGGTCACCAGCTATGTTAGCCCCTTATAAGAGAGTCAGCCTGTCCTTTGAAGCTTTGAAGTCAGGGCTGACTTCTGCTCTCCAGCTGTGAAAGTCCTAGATGGCATTTTCCAATATAAGGCTCTTTTGTATACATAGAAAATCTGTGGTTTAGTGTAGCCACCTTTATGAATTATCTTAGCTAGATCTTCTGGAGGATAACTTGCTGCAGCCTCTTCATCAGCTGTTGCTGTGTCACCTGGCATTTTTATTTTATGGATATGGTTTCTCTCCTTGAACCTCATGAACCAACCTTGGTTAGCTTCAAACTTTTCTTCTTTAACTTCCTCTCCCCTCAGTCTTCACAGAATTGGAGAGAGTTAGGGTTTTGTTGAGGATTAGTCTTTGGCTGAAGGGGATGTTGTGGTTGGTTTGGTTTTCTGTCTAGGCCACTAAAGCTTTCTCCATATCACCAGTAAGGCTGTTTCACTTTCTTACCATTCACGTGTTCACTGGAGTAGCACTTTGAATTTCTTTCAGGAACTCTTCCTTTGCATTCACATCTATCTTGGCTAACTGGTGCAGAAGACCTCGGTTTTGGCCTACATTGGCTTTTGACATGCCTTCCTCACCAAGCTTTATCATTTTTAGCTTTTGATTTAGAGTGAGACATGTGATTTGTCACTTGAATAGTTAGAGGCTGTTACAGGGTTACTAATTAGCCTCATTTTAATTTGTTGCATCTCAGGGGATAGGGAGGCCTCAGGAGAGGGGAACAACTGGTTGATCGAACAGTCAAAATATATATAATATAATTTTTTTCATTCTATGTGAGCACCCCCCTCAAATTACATAGTAACATCTGAGATCACTGATCACAGATCACTGTCACAATAATGAAAAAGTTTAAAATATTGTGAGAATTACCAGAATGTGACACAGAGACATGAAGTGAGCGAGTGCTGTTGGAAAAATTGGCGCTGAGACTTGCTTGAAGTAAGGTGGCCACAAGCCTTCCACTTGAGAAGAGCACAGTATCAGTGAGGCAAAGTGACATGAAACGCAATAGAAGGAAATATGCCTGCATATAAAAAATGAACATGTCCAAGGTGACTTACTGGGTAGATCGAGTGGGTTGTGTTATACATTTCACAGTCACAAAGGAAAAACTAACAGTAGAATGTGGATGGAGGTCTGGGGAAGGGCTGTGTTCTACTAGAGTTCTCTTTAACTTTCTACCTCTCAAGTTCAGTCCACTTGTTAAAGTTCTGTTTAAAAAAGTTAACTTACTTAACTACCATCTTTTACTCAACCCAATGATAAGTTTTGAGAATTATCAAGTTGTTTTTATGGTCTTCACTTCTTTCCACTATTTTAAGTCCTTCTGGTTGCAATGGTTGTCTTTTAAGTATTAACAGAGGTAAATACTAATGAGATAACAAGGCACATAAACTAGTCGTATGTAATGTAATTGTGTCTACTAATTGTAACTTACCAGCTTAGTAATTCAAATGGCAGTATTTTTCTTTATGAAAACTATGGGAGAATTTTGTAAATGCTGTGTTTCTCTTTTAATTTGCTTTCGCTTGAGTGTTTTCTATAAAAAAGAAAATTACTGAAAAAATATTTTTTTCTGGGTTTGAAAGATGTTAGGATGTAAGAATAATGGTAAAAATTTTTTTAAGTATTATTTTAAAATTTAAATTAAAATGAGATGCCAGAGATCTCATTATATGACATTTAATTTAACAGAGATCACACTGACATAAAATATATTTCCTGAGCAGAGGTCATAGATGGAACAGTTCCATTGCTTTGTGAATACCACGGTGTCAGACATTAGTACAGTAAAATACATTATATTTAATGGTTAATTAAAATTAAATCCTCTCTTCAAGTAAGTATCTCCTTATATTAAACTCAATGGTAAACAGTGAGCCCTTGCAAATGATTGGAGTATAAAAGTGTACTGAATATAAGCGTTGATATTAATTTTCTTTTTTAAAAAAATTTATCAATTTTAGAGATAGAGGAAGGGGTTGAGGGGACAGTGGAGAGGTAGAGAGAGAGAGAGAGAGTCATCAATTTGTTTTTCCACGTATTTATGCATTCATTGGTTACCTAACTGGGGATCAAACCCACAACCTTGGCATATCGGGATGACACTCTAACCAACTAAAGCTACCTGACCAGGGTTTCTACTTGTTTGTTTTTTTTTTTAAACTTATTTCTCAGAACACTTAATGTATTAACATTTATCAAATAGATACTGGTCCTAGGCAAGGTAGTAAGTAAATAACATACATTATTTCATTTAATCATTGCAATAACTGTGTAAGGAAAGATTATTTGCTGAAATTAAACTCAGAAGATAAATGAGCTTTCATGTAACTTAAAAAGTCCATTCTTTAGAGTTCAGTACAAATCTTTTAGTGAGCAAAAGGGATGTTTCTTTCTTAACTGAATGTAATTTTGTTAAAATCCTAATGGAGAAGTTTTCCCTTAATGTTTTTTCTTTTAAAAATAATGGAATTTAAAAAAAATGAAGGGCAGTTTTAGTTTTTGGCAGTCTTGTCAGACTTCTTCAAATGCAGGCTTTGCAGATCGCCGTCTGGTTAGGCTGGGGAATGATGGGTGGGGCCTAGCGGGTTCAAGTTATTGTCACGTGGGTTCTTGCTAGTTGGTCGTTAGCACGCTTAAGTTGATTTACTGGGTACACTGAGAGTTATTGGTGAGATCATAAAAGTTGGGAAAGTTAGAGTTGGAAAGAGAGACTTTGCAAAATATGCCTTTTCATTCTGGGTTAGCTGGTTATAGAAGCACGGTTTTCCCAGTGGTCCTTCATTTCTGAGGGATCGTTATGTACATGAAGAGTAATTAAGTATATATTGCAATAAAAAGTTGTACTTTCTTTTACCAATCTGCCATGAGGTCAGTTATTTGGTTTAGATTGTGTAGTTTGGTCTGTGAATAAGACAGTTCTTTCCTTCAGAGCAGTAGTCACATATACATTAATAGTCAGAACATCAGCAGTGTTTGTCTAGTTCATACTGTTGTACACTGTATTGTCTTCCCAAATTCACATGCTGAAGCTCTAACCCCCAATGTGTCTTTGAAGAGAGAGCCTTTAGGAAGTA